CTGTCTTTCCCCTAAAGCAATTACTAGCTGTTGGTCTCTTAGAGTCTATCTGGTTCTCAATACTGCTAAACAAAGCAATTGAGACCCAGGTTGGGGATGGGACATGGCCTGTGACAGAAGCAAGACAGGAACACTTACTTGTCTTGAATGCAGACCTGGGTCCACCACACTGACTTTTTACCCAGTTGACATTCAGTGGGTCTCTCTTTCTCTCTTCCCCACTCCCTATGCTGGGAGCTTAAGCTTCAGGCTCCCCACAGCAGCATGCTCTGAGACTATCCTCTTGGCTCCATCCAGCCTCAGTGCTGAGTCTTTTTTTTTTTTTTTTTTTGGTTTTTCAAGACAGGGTTTCTCTGTATTGCTTTGGAGGTTGTAGACTAGGCTGGCCTTGAACTCACAGAGATCTTCCTGCCTCTGCCTCCCGAGTGCTAGGATTAAAGGCGTGGGCCACAAATGCCCGTCTCAATGCTGAGTGTTAACCCAGGTTTCAGGGACCTGAATTAACACTCTCTTTAGGTAAAGTAGGGAGCTTCCAGCCTTGTGCTTCTGTATAGGCCTTGGATAGGAGGGTAGGGCACCTGGGCTGTCTGTGTACTAACACAAGGCTCCTGCCATTTCTATTCCTTCCCTCCCAGGCTTTCTTGCTTAGAGGAAAGACCTTGGTAACCCCAATTTTAACACTGCACAAGCCTATTGAGGGGCCCTTATAAAAAGCTCACTTCATTAGTAAGTGTGAAAAATGCCCAATCCACTGTGTGAACCTGGTTATGATTTCCCCCTGGCCCAATGGCCTCACTGTGTGCCAAGTTTGACATCTGTGGGTAAAGAGATTCCTAGGCCAGAGCCTGGTCCACCCCCCACCCCACCCCAGCTGCTTCCCCTCACTTGTACTCCATGGAGGCCAATCAGGATGTTATTCATTTCCCTCTCAAAGAGGCCAGTTCAAAAAGGCCAGAAGAGCCCCCCTCGTCCCCCTTGTTAAAAAAAAAAATGCCAGTTCCTCCCATGAGGAGGAAGCAACATATTTTGTTTCTGTTACATCTAGGCAAAGATTAGATTTACAGTGAGTCCAGAATGACTGTTGGTGCGTGTAGCTACTTAGCTATCTTTTTATCTCTGGATCTGAGCTATGCCATGGTTTAGAGGAAGAACAGATTCGTCCATAAGGAGAGGGGCATGGAGGAGTCCCAGGAGGGGCCTCGAGGCCTCAAGTTACTGTATCTGACACAGAGCTGCCATCTAACCTTGAATTAGGGGTAACAGCTGGGTAAAGGAATTAACTTGTTCTCCCTGTATTTTATTTGAGTTTGAGAAATGCCTTTAGGGTGAAAAGCTACTGCTAAAATAGCTTCCTGCTATCCCTCAGCCTGCTGGAGAAAAAAGGAAAAGAGCATGTAAAAGTAGTGTCCTATAGAAATGCCCACCCAATGACTCAATAAACTTCAACCTCACCCAACCTTCCTTCTAGGCAGCACTTTAGGAAGTCTGGCTGGCACGGCACTAGGATCCTCAGACCCAGGAGGAGTCCCTGTTCTCAGGGAGCAGAATGGGGGGAACATCCCCTTTCTGAAACCCAGCCCCGCCTTTGGAGCCTGCTTATGGCAGCTGCTTGGATCCTTGAATCTGGCTGGAACTGCTTCTCTTCACTAGGCATCTTCTTAGACCTTGCTTTTGAAGCCACCAAGGGTGAAGGCGGACCCTTTGGGGAGATGTGTTGGTGACAAGGCCACAGACTTGCTGCTGTGCAGAGTCCTCAGCCAGGCCAGAGTGAAAAGTTTAGTGCTCAGTCCAGCTCTGTTGTGTCCTAGCAGGGGACCATGTGCAGAGAAGCCTCCTAGGACCTTTGCTTTCTCTGCCGTAAAGGAGACCAATACTGCTAGTTATTCCTGAGTCTAAATCATTCTAAGATTCAAATATAAGTGTACGCTGCTGAACCTTGGAGATGATAATGTATCATCAGAATGCAACAGATTGGTTTACTCTCAGAAGCTGGGTGGCTTTCTGATGTACTCCTGTCCCTCGACTCCAGACCCTCTGACACACAGGAAATGCCTAGCTGCTCCTTAGGCTCTGTTTGTTTGCTTTTGAGAAGATCTCACATAAAGCCCAGGCTGTCCTCCAATGTACAAATTCTCCTGCCTCAGCCTCCCGGGGCGGGAGTTACAGGCATGTAACACCATTCCTGGCTCCTAGTAATCCCTATGCCTCTCTAGGGCACATCCCTGAGTTTTCTATTCATAGGTCCAGTCTCCCTGATATATTAAACTAAGTAAAATTTATGCCTCTATGCATCTTTGGAAGGACAAGATTCCAACACCAGTTGTTTGCAAAGGATTATTTATCCCAACTATTAAAAACATAGCAGTATACAGATTGCAGTTTCACACACAGGGCACAGGTCTTCGAAACTATTTGTTTGTTTACCATTTTTATCTAGTTTTGAGGTGGCACCTCGCTCTGCAGTCCAGGCCGCTCTGGAACCCACTTTGTAGCCCAGGTTGACTATAATGATCCTCTTGTCTTTGCCTTTGGAGTGCTATTACAGATGTGAGTGGGCTCTCTGAAACATCTCTACGCAATAGTAAAGACAAAGGCTTCATTTACATATGAGTCCTGAGAGTGTATGCCTAAGGCATACTTCATGAACTTCACCACTGGGGACACCGAGCACATCAGGCCTCAAACATGCAAACAAACTGGGCCTGGGCTTTCCATGGCAACAACCCAAAAGTGGCCTTTGTCTACATATGGTATTTCTTCTGCACTTTGTTAATAGTTAACTTTTAAACATGTGGTTGAAAACTGGATTATGTTCAGGTCTGCTATTCAAAAGAGAGAGTGGGCAAGCAGACGGTCTACACCAGAGGGCAGTGAGGGGCACCAGCCAGCACACTTCCCAGAGGTAGAGCTGGGCGTAAAGTGCAAGCTCTCTGCTGCACTCCTGCACTCATCACCCTGAAGTTCTCCGGCAGGTCAACAGCTCAGGATGCCCATCAGGTACATTGGCTCAGGCCATGAGGAGTCTCCAAAACTTGGAAGAGATCTAACATTGCAAAGCTCAGGTGGTGTCTATTCAGGATGGAGAGCGGAAGTGATCTTGGTGGTCGGCAGGAACCCCCAGGTTATTGTAAAATGGCCTCTGGCCCAGGGCATCTTTCTCTGAAGAGAGGAGCCAAGCCAGGCATGGTAATGTATGTCTGTAATCACAGCACTTGGGAGGCAGAGGCAGGATGATCAGGATAAGGTGTCCTCAGCTACACAGTGAACTTGAGGCCATCCTCAAGTTTGTACAGTTTGTACAACAACTGGGCGGTGGTGGCACACACCTTTAGTCCCAGCACTTGGGAGGCAGAGGCAGGCAGGCAGATCTTTGAGTTCCAGGATAGCCTGGTCTTCAGAGTGAGTTCCAAGACATCCTCTAAAGCCAGAGAAACCCTGTCTCAAAAAAAACAAAACAAAACAAAAAAAAACAACAAAAAAAAAACAAAAAAAAAAACAAAAAAAAAAAACAAACCAAAAAACAAAACAAACAAACAAACACCAAAGCAAAAAACCAAAACCAACCAAACAAAAAAGAATTTGTACAACAGAAACAAAAAAGATAGAAAAAAACACCCTGCTGAGATCAGAAAGGCCTGTGAGTGCCCTTTCACTGTCATGGCAGCTTAGGTGGCACAATGGGGTCCCTTGGGCAGCTGGATACTGTAAAGAAAAGCAGGCTTTTTTGGGGAACCATGGTCTACCCCACTTTCTCTCTGTGCCTCCGGTTCTCCTCTCCTCTCTCACTACCCTCAAGCCTTTCTCAAGACTTTGCTTTAGTCTATCAGCAACAGTTTGTGCTTCTAAGGGACCCACATGTGTGGTTAATACTGTCAACTCGGAAACACCTGAATCCCCCAAAAGAGAAACTTCTGGGCATGTCTATGAAGGAGTTTCTAGTTGATTGCTGAGGTGAGAAGACCCACCTTAACTGTGGTTGGCGTCATTCCATGGGTTGGAATCCCACAATTACCAAAAGAGTGAGTTGAAGGCCAGCCTGCACCTCCCTGCTTCCTGACTGTGGACACAGTGTGACCAGCTGCCTCCCGCTCCTGCCTCCATGGTTTTCCTACCTGTAAAGACCCTGGAACTGTAAGGTGAAATAACCTATCTTTCCTTCAGTCCATTTTGCCAGGCACTTTGTCACAGCATAAGAAAAGCAATTAATAAAGACCCCTCTCTCTTTTTTTCCAATGCATACTTTCCCTAGGTGAGCTCCCAACCCCACTGTTATGAAAACAACCACCTACATGTAAGAGATCCCAAACTGTCTCTCATGAGCTTCTTTCTACCCAAACACATCCCCGTAGGAGCAAATGCCTTCACACGAATGCCCATGGGCACTTCCAACCCAGCGGCCCCAGGGCAACTACTCCTCCTTTATGTGTTGGAAGCGTTCTCCTCACTGTCCCCACTGGCCTTGTCCCTTTCTGCCATCTGTGTGGTCAGTAAGGCTTTGACTTTTACCTTTTAGGAGCTCTTGAGTCTGTTTCTTGGTCTCAGGAGCCCTGGCCTTAGATGTGGTCTTCCCCGCTGTGTTGATATGACTTCCCTTTCATCTTGTTCTTCAGCCCCAGTCCCTTGATGCAAATCTGAGCACTTCCCAGAACAAACACCACTTGTTCCCTACCAGCTCTCCAGACCCAGACTCTACCTGCTCCCCGAAAGTCCTATTCATTCTTGATAATGTGGATGAGCCTGGGAAGCCTCCCACTTCTGGGTCTGACATAGGCCTCCAACAGCCTCTTAGAACCCAGCCTCACTTTCTACTTTGTACCCTGGTTGAATCAATTAAAACACTACAGGGGCCTACTGGGAAACTGATGAGGATTTTGAAAGTAGTCACAGAGCAAGAGCCATAAAACAGTTTCTGCTCCATTCTTCCCAGGAGATTAGGAGTCCCTGAAGGGCAACATCTGTTCATTCTTTTTTAAAGGACTTTGTTTGTCTCCTATGCATAGCTTTGGTTCCTGGCAATTGGCACAAAGAAAGCAAGGAAGAAATCAAGGCTGCTACCCTGAAGAACAGTAAGAGCATCATGACGGTGGACCCAAATATTTAACATTTGAAGAACAGTCTTATGGAGAAGGAAACAGCTTGTTTTTGGTGGCCCAAGTCAGCATGCAGAGTGAGGAGATGATGAGCAGTTATATTTCAGCTCAGTATAACAGGCTGTTCCATATAAATTGCCTCCTGCAGTTTCAAGACTCATTCGGAGCAAGCAGCTCCTCTGGGAAGACTTCCTGGGGGTGGCCGCTGCCACCTGCCTGCAGCATGCTCCTCTCCCTCCGACTGCCCTCTACATGGTATGTGTAGGGTTTCAGTGATCCACTTGACCTGAGTTCTGCAGAGCCTTGCAGATACATTCCAGAAAATGGTGACTGAGGGGCTTTGAGGTCCTTGTTCTGTCATTTATGAGTCCCACAACCTGGACAGTAAGTTCCTTACCTTTCTGGACTCACTTTTGTCATCTATAAAATGGTAATAACAAAATATATTGGGCTTGAGTGCATGGGCTCAGAAAAGTATCTGGAATCCAATAAATGCTTCATTGAGCTCCTCTGTACCCCATGTGTTTCCATAGTGACCTGTGACACTCCTGTCTTTCAGGTCTGTAGACACTGGACTAGGAGACAGAGCTGGACTCAGAGGCCAAGCTTTTGGGCACTTCAGACAGTATTCTCCACAAGCATTAAACAAACTTTCCCTCCTGGTTTTTCAATTACACTAAATGACCCATCAGTCAAAAGTGCTTGCTTCTCCAAGGGAATACAAATGCTCTGTGAATTACATCACTTCTTCCTGAGGGACGATCTGTCAATCAGGAGAGAAGCTCAGAGCTCACAACATCTGCAAGGGACCAGCAGTACATCTTGTCCTTACTATTGGCCTTTGTAGACCTTCTAAGTCAGTCTCCGACTTCAATGGGAATCATGGCATCTATACCACTGTTATACCTCCTCAACCAACGTGACAATGGCTAAGAAAGTGTGATGCAGCCGGGCGTTGGTGGTGCACGTCTTTAATCCCAGCACTCGGGAGGCAGAGGCAGATGGATCTCTGTGAGTTCGAGGCCAGCCTGGTCTCCAGATCGAGTGCCAGGATAGGCTCCAAAGCTACACAGAGAAACTCTGTCTCAAAACAAAACAAAACAAAAAACAAACAAACAAAAAAGAAAGTGTGATGCTTGGGTGCAAGACTAAACTTGGTCTGGTGAGATGCTCATTGAGTAAAGGCACTTACTGGCACACCTGATGACCTGAGTTCCATCCCTGGGACTTGCCTGGTGGAAAGAGAGAACTGACTTCTACAAGTTGTCCTCTGACCTCTCCACACAATGCATTGTGGCGCTTATGCTTGTGTGCGGCACACCTACACACATATATGTAATGAATAAAATGTAATAAAAATTAAAATAAACTTGTCAGCCAGGTGGTGGTATGCACCTTTACTCCCAGCACCCAGGAGGCAGAGGCAGGCAGCCTGGTCTACAAGAGCTAATTCCAGGACAGCCTCGAAAGCCACAGAGAAACCCTGTCTCGAAAAACAAAACAAAAAGAAAAAAAAATTAAAATAAACTTGTCCTGGAAGCTCACTGTCCTCTACACACCAATGGCTTTCACCTTCACGCCAGCAAGCCATTTGCCTTGATCTTGACATGGTGCAATTGGCACACCTACCTAGTTGTTTTAAGCTTAGAGACCTCACATTTTCATCATGGAACTTCTTATCTGCATATCTGTCACTTCCTTATTCTTACTAATAATACTGTTTGATTTCACTGAACCTGACAGCTCCTAGAGTCCTCCCCACTCAATCCACTGACTTCTTGGTTATGACAAATTTTTACTGTCTCTACTGGCTAGTTTTATGTCAACCTGACACAAGCTGGAGTCATTGGAAAAGAGCGAACTTTAATTGGGCTGTAGGTGCCGGGCAGTGCACACCTTTAATCCTAGCACTCGGGAGGCAGAGGCAGAGGCAGAGGCAGAGGCAGAGGCAGAGGCAGAGGCAGAGGCAGAGGGAGAGGCAGAGAGGCAGAGAGGCAGAAAGGCAGAGGCAGATGAATCTCTGTGAGTTCGAGACCAGCCTGGGCTACAGAGGGAGTTCCAGGACAACCAGGGCTGTTACATGGAGAAACCCTGTCTCAGAAACCAAGAAGCCTGTAGAGCATTTTCATTAGTGACTGATGGGGGAGGGCCTGGCCCACTGTCATTGGGGCCACCCCTGGGCAGGTGTCCTGGGTTCTATAAGAAAGTAGACTGAGCAAGCCATGGGGAAGAAGTCAGTAAGCTGCACTCTTCCATAGCTGCTGCATTAGCTCCTGCTGCCAGGTTCCTGCCCTGTTTAAGTTCCTGTCCTGACTTCTTTAGTAATGCACAGTGAAATAGAAGTGTAGTAACCTAAATAATCTCTTTCCTCTCAAAGTTGTTTTGGTCATGGTGCTTTCAACATAGCAACAGTATAACCCTACCTAAGACACTGTCTGTCCCAGTGTTCATGCCTCAGAGACATCTGATAAAACTAGAACCAAGCCATCTGCATCCTCCTGGCATGTCTGCCATGCCTGGGATACATCATCCAACCACAGAATTCCACTGCTCTGCTCCAGGGCGTGGGGCTGTGATGGAGAAATGCACACGCTCGGGTCAACTAGTGCCATGAGAAATTTATCAGCTGGACCCTGCTTGCTCCCAACCTTTACTTAGTCATTCCACTTGTTTCTGGTCAGCTCCCTCCTGTACTTCCCCTCTTCTCAAGCCCCCAAACCTGTCACTACTCTCTCCTCATTCTTGGCAGATGACCTACCAACTAACTGCCTCTGGGATTTCTTTTCTAGTTCTTTCTTTTAAAGATTCAGGAGTCTGCGCATCTTAAGAGCGACTTGGTGGAGGAGCCTTTGATGAGTCTCCCAGCAGCCAAATGGGCATGGCAGAGTCACCTCTGATGAGAAAAGGGAGGTGGGGGAAGGAGGCTGGGCACCAGAGGGCTTCTCTGCCGGCCTCTTCTTCCCACTGAACATGTTCTGCAGAGGTCTGGATTTTGCCCTTGTCACTTCTGTTCTGCATCAAACAGTGGTGCCCTAAGATGGTGACAATAATGGCAGCAGGCAAGCCCCCGTGCCAGGCAGAAGGTTTACTCTGTGTCTCCGCAGGGTGGAGTAGGCATAGAGTAGCCATGGCTTCTGTAAGGGGTGTAAGGGTATGTGTGTTCAGTTGATAATCAGAAAATACACACCCGGGGAGCAAACAAGGGACTGGAGTGACAGTTCATCTTTGCCACAGCCACTAGCTTCTTTGGTGACATAGGCCCTGAAACTGCCAGGCTCCTCCATCTCACTCCTTCCCTTTTGGAAGCCCCAGGACACTGTGCTTCCTTCTACCTTGGGAACTCACAGCCCTCCAAGCTCTTCTGATAACAGGTAAAAACAGTGGAGGCCATCTCTGACCTCCCCTGGGTTAGGTCAGCTGTGCGTGTCAGTACACAACACACTCTGCTGGTCCCACTGGCTTCCTGTCTCTTCTAGAACATTCTCTGCAGTATTCCCAAAGCTTAGTACCTACTGACTTTAGTGTCATTGGTCTCAGAGAATTACAGTTTCCACATGTCAATGTAACAGTCATCTCCAGGCACAGAGGGAAGAAAGTCCCAGTGAAGACGCAGGGACTTGAAGGAAGAAGCAACTGGTAAGAGGCTGGGTTTTGGGGACTATCAGATGATGATCAGGGCAGGCGAATGCAGAGAAGGCTCGCTGCATCTGTCTCCCTATGAGCACCACCAGGCTGCCTAACTAGAGGGGCTTCCTGGGGGACTGGGGGCAGGCTTCACAGGAGGATTCATTTGGAGGGGTACTTTGGGCCAATCCCCAGTTTCCTCTAACTGCCTCCCAGATCAAGCCCCCCAACTCTCCTTGACACACACATTTCAACTGGCCCACTGTACCTGAGTCTGCGTCTAGTCTGACCAGCACCCAGGTACCCCACAGAGAGCCCCAGACCTTGTGGAAGGAGAAGGGTGGGGGTGGGGCAGCCTGGAGAGTTGTCCACAGAGGCTGAGCGGAACACTGACATGACACAGATTCACTTCTCGCTCTAGGCAGAACGCCCAACTGGCACTGCTTTCAGAGGAATTAAGCAGCTTTTGACTTAGACAGAGGATAATCACAAGTTCCTGGAGGATAATGTCGAGAAGGGAATCTGTCCGGAGAGACATCTGACCACACTCAGAGCCAGGAAGGGACCACAAGTGAACGCTAGTGCTTCTGTATCCACTTGTTGGGCACAACTGCTGCCTGGACTTGCACAGCTAGTACTCTGTATTTCGTTTTTATTTTGTAGCCCAGGCTAGCCTTAAACTCCTGGTAATCCCTCTGCCTCAGCTCTAAAGTGTTGGGATTGTAGGCATAAGCTACCATACTTGGTTTTAACTAGTACTTCTTGCAGGCAGTGATTACTATTATTAACTGTTACTATATAGTAGTATTATGGATTGAGATAGGGACTTGACCAGTGTTCTACCACTGAGATACATCTCAAGGCCCCTCAATCTGTACTTCTTAAATGGCACTATCTATCAGCTAGTGAGCTCTCCTAATTTTTTTCATTTTGTTTTGTTTTGAGAGAGGTATTGCTACGTAGCCCAGTCTTGTTTCAAACTTGTAATCCCTCTGTCTCAGTCTTTTAAGAGTTGGGATTACAGGCCGGGCGTTGGTGGCACATGCCTTTAATCCCAGCACTCGGGAGGCAGTGGCAGGCAGATCTCTGTGAGTTCTAGGCCAGCCTGATCTCCAGAGAGAGTGCCAGGATAGGCTCCAAAGCTACACAGAGAAACCCTGTCTCGAAAAACAAAAACAAAAAAACAAAAAACAAAAAACAAACAAACAAAAAAAAGTGTTGGGATTACAGGTGTGAACTTCCACCTCCAGTGAGCTTTTCAAATATATGGCCTAGACCATAATTAGAATTTCTTAGGTTTAAGATAGGGGCTGGGTGGGTGCTTCTCTCTGTCACCTGAAACCATGCCTACATTTCATTCCTGTAAAATCTGCTTTGCTTTATTAGCAGGAGCAATCCTGTGAAAATCTATCTGAGGCCACCATAGCACCATATACAATTGGTGCTTCAACAGAAAGGCACATTCTGCTGTTTTAGATGGCATTTTCTAGAAACATTACCATCCCTACCCTGTAGAGCATTGGCCCTGGCTAGTGTGCCCAGGAAGGATCACAGAGGCCATCCTGGTATATAGTGAGTTCCAGGCCAGCCAGGGCTTCATAGAGAGACCCTGCCTCAAAGCAAACAAACCATAAATAAGATCTTTTAAAAAAAAATGGTTGTCTGGTCCTCTTTGAAAGTGAGTGTCCATTTATGGACTTGCTGGGTGCTAAATTTAAGATAATTTAGGAACTTCAGGAATAGCCATGAATATCCAGGTGGTTCAGAGATGACAGAATGACCAGATGACCACTACTTTTCTGACTCTGTCTGGGAGGCTCAAGATAAGATTAAACAAAACAAACAAACATCAACAAAAACATCACAAAAAGATAACCTAGTCTAGCCTTCCCAATGTGGCTAAGGGTGACCTTGAACTTTGGATCTTGTTATCTCTACCTCCCAAGTACAGATGTGCCATCATGCCTGACATCTGGTTTATGCAGTGCTGGGATGAAACCCAGGGCTTCATATATGCCAAGCAAGCAAGCACTCTACTAAGGGAACTATATCTCCAGGCTTAAGAATTGATCCCTCTATATTCCTGCTGCAGAGCTGGGACTTCAATTGAGGGCCTCACACATGTCAAGCAATGCTTTGCCACTATGCTCTATATTCCTGGTCACCAACAACGTTTTTAATGGTAACTTTGGGTCAGTGTGCATTTTAATCTACTGGGGTGAAGAACTGCCTCCTAAGAAAAGGCACTTAAGACTGTTTGAAACACTGGACTTGGAGTCAGAACACCTGGACCCATCACCAAGTCGCTGAGTGTGACTGGGCGAATAACTGGCCGCGCCAGGACTCACTGTCCAGTGGGGAAGTGACTTTTGCCTCCCACTCCGAGAGCTGCTGAGAGTCAAGTCAGACAGAGGTGCATGTGGACCCACTCCATGCAAATCCTCAGAGGATGCTGCCTGCCTGCCAGTCCCTTCATTCATCACTCAGGCCCTGCTCAAAGTGTGGCTCAAAGTCCTGCCTGCTCACTGGTGAGGACTTTTCTTCTTTATGTCACAGCCCCCAACTGTGACTCTCATGTGTAAGATTATACCATCTCTTACCTCTCCTTGTTAGAGTCCAGTTCCTGGGCTTGCACCCTCCCTCTCAGCATCCCTTAAAGGCTTGAGCCCTTGGTTCCCTGCCCCTCTTAATAATAGTGTTACAATGCTAACTACCCCTCTAAATAGTGCTACAAGGCTAACTAATCCTG